GCGATGTTCGCTTACCATCTTCATTTCTCTTCTTCTTCGCTTTCTTCTTCTTCCTCAGAATCAGCCGTTTGGATGAAAACGAAATTCACTTCGCAGAAAGGCGTCTGGTCTTCTTACCTTTTTGTACTGTACATCTTTATTTTATAAAGGTTAAATCCTTAATTTTGTCCCTCAATTATTGTATAAATATCTAATTTGGTCTTTAAACTAAAAAATCTTTGATTTAGTCCCTATTGTATATCAATTTAACTCCAAGTTGGTTCATCCATTAAAAAATAACTGATGTATATATTATTTAATGGTAAAAACCGTTATTTAACAGTTATGTGTCATGTCAATAATAAAATATGTTATTTATTTTTGTATAAAAAGACCAACTTAAGGTTAAATTTGTAAATAATAAAGATTAAATCAATTTTTTTTTAGCTTAAAAACCAAATCAAAGGGCAGTATAATGATTGAAGGACCAAATTGGGGGTTTAACATTTTATTTATTTATTATGATCTTTAACAAAAGGTAATATTTTAGGGGGTAAAACCATATGTTAAGCTCCTAAACTAACTCAAAATTTATTATTAAGTCCTAAAACTTTAATTGATATATAAGCCCCTAAACTCCATTATTTGAGCAATTTAACCCTTATTCTTATAGTAATTAAAGAATTAAAGATTAAATTACTCAGATCATAAAGGCAAAGGGTTTATATGCATCAATTAAAGTCTGAGGCTCAATAGTGAATCTAAGGTTAGTTCAGGGGCTTAATATATGGTTTTGCCCATTTACGGAAGGAGGGCGGTCGGTAGGAATTTTAGAAGTTGTAGGTGGGAGTTGGAACTCTCAATCTAGCCCTCAAGCTCCTCGGCTTCGAGGGGTAAACGAGTTGGCCCAGCTGGGCTGGTTCAGGCCTGTTTATTTTTGACGGTCGGGTGGGGGTGAGGATTGAGTATCTTACACCAATTATTTATGAATATTTTATTTATTTGGGTATATATTATATGAAAATAGTATTTATTCATTTTATTTTTTAA